GCGAGACGGCGCGCGGCGGCCGCAGGCGCTTTCGCGGCGCGGCGCGGCGCGAAGCCCGGCGACGTCACGCGGCGCCCCCGCCAAGCGGCGTCACTGGGAGGAAATCCCCACCTACGCCTGCTCGGCGGGGCGGGGAGAGGGGTAGAAGCGGGGCCCCGGCCGGGGAGGCGCAGAGGCACCACGCGCCGGAGGCTGCGGCGGAGCGACGCGCGCGAGCGACGGGCGGGCGAGACGGGCGAGCGAGACGGGCGAGCGCGGAGCCGTCTCGGGCAGCCAGCCCGCCGCGGGTCGGCGCCATGGCCGGTAAGCGCGGCTCTTTCTCTCCGCGGGCGCGTCCCGGGCCGGCTGCGCCTCGTGGGGGGGGGGGGCGTCGCGGCGTCTGCAGCGCCCCGGGCGAGGGTCGCCGGCCTCAGAGGCGCGGCTGCGCGAACAGACCGGCCCGCGCCCGCCGGGTGGCCGCAGGTGCCACTGCTCGGGGTGCCTCGCACGTCGGTGCATCCGCGCAACAACCCTGCGAGGTGGGCTAGGCTGAGGAGGACGCCAAAAACGGGAGCAGCGCTGTCTCCAGGATGCCGCGGGGGGGGCTCCGCTGGCCACAGTGGCTGCGGCTGATGGGAGTTGGAGGCCAGAACATCAGGAGGGTGCCAAGTTTGGGAGAGCTGTCTTAAGGCTTGGCCTTAGTGGTTTCCTAGGTGCCATTTCTGTTTTGATTCCCTGGCCCTGTGATCCTGAAATCACTCCAGCCTGAGTCTTGGTGGGGGTGGGGTGCAGAGGGAGTGACTGAGCTACCTGGAGCAGGGTGTCTTTTCATCTGAGCCAGAACAAATGTTTATGAAAGATGGAGGGTTGCCACACCTCTGGCCTGCCCTGTACCTGTGTCTTCCGCATGAGCCGCCTTTTCCCGGTAGGGAAATAAACCTGCTTTTTTTTTTTTTTTTTGCTTACCTTTTCATATCTGAATTCTCTGTGGGAGAGCTGGTGGCAACCCATGCACCCCCAGCTGCAAATGGAGGGGCAGTTTCAAGAGTTAAGTGTTAGGTCTGTGCCTTGCTGTCTCAGTTTGAATCCCTGCTTGCCTCTGAAGACCACGGAGTAGCCTTGGCCAGGTAGCTGCTGCTCTCTGCTGCCAACCTCGCAGGGCTGTTGTGAAGCTAAATGGCAGCTCAGAGCTTCTTGGAGGAAGATTAGGGAATGATGTATAATATCAAAACTATTGTCCCATTGCTATTTCTAAAGGTGGCTCACTCCTAAGAATTCCCCTCCTGAGAATATTTTCCTCTCACAAGAATATTTAGCATTATTTTCTTCTAGAGCAGGTGTTGTATTGGTTTGTCTCACCGAAAATATGGCCAGTTCTGCAAAAGGATTTCTCGTTGTTCAGCCTTTTGATAGCACCTCCAAGGTTTTCAAGTGCTTTGCACCTTGGTAATAGTTCTCCGAGTCCTGTAAGGCTGGCCGATAGAAAGTACCATAACGCTATTGCAGGTGAAGGACTTGGACCTCCTGGTCTGCAGGCCAGGGTCCTGTCTTGGTTGGGGGAAGTCGCATCCCTCAAGACAGTGCTGACTATTTGGGCTGGGATTCACTGGAGTCCAGCCACACCTGGGGGCCATCACAGCTGCCCCACCTTTGTGCTGCTCAGTTGTGAGGCGTAGCTGCAGCCCGCTGGTCACCTGCCGGGCTTCCCCTCTCAGTAACAAATATCGCAACACCAAATTCAGCCCCCTTGCAGCTCTGCGCAAGTTTAGAGAGAGAAAAGATCTACAGCTTTTGTCTAAACTTGCACAGAATTACATCCTCAACAAGCCCAAACGCCTTTGCTTTGAAAGGCACACACTGTGTCGATGATAAGCGAATTGTGTCTTTTTAAAATGTTGTGATAAATGCTACTGACAGCCCTGCTTTTGGCAATTTGACTTTGAACGTGTGTGAGAGCAGCCTGGCTCAGTTGCTCCCTCAGCATGCTTCTTTGCTCCTTCCTTTCTTGAAATGTGTCTGCTGGTATTCCGTGGTTCTGCCCTTGATTTCAGTGGTTGCAATACTGAAGTTACTTTTCTTCTCCTCACCCCGCATACCCCCTGTTAGGATTTCTCACCGCTGTAGGGTGAGCAATGGGAAGGGATGAACCTCAGCCCTCCTTGGTGCATGTGCTAATTTCAGTGTAGTTTGGCCCTGCAGCCTTTATTTATATGCATAATTGAAGATAAAAAGTTGCAGATTTTACCCCCTTGAAAGGATCCCCCTGCCCCACAAATAAAGGGCTACATAAATGTTTCAGGTAGTAATAACAATTTGAGAGTTTCCAGTTGCAATCCTGCAAAATTTGCCTATGTATTTTTTTCATGTTTGTATTTTTGCATTATTTTCATGTTTTGTTTTTTTTAATTGACATGGCAAGAAAATACTAAGCTGTAACTTGCCACACAGGCTTGATTTCACAATAGAAGTCAACAAATAGCAAATCAAATGGACAGATAACAAATCATGCAATAGGGAAATCATACTTTATGCTTCCTCAATTATCCATTATAAAAGCTTCATTTGATTTCACAACTGAGACCATAAAATATTCCTGTAAAAACATATATTAATTTTATAGCAGTAAACTGTCACAAAGGTTGCTGATAATTTTTTCAGCAGCCCCCCCACCCCACGCCACCCCACCCCACGCATCCTGTATAAAATTACAGACCTGAGACAGTGAATTTGCTTGCTTGATTGCTTTAAGTTCGCCTGAGAGGGACTTGATTATTTTAACTTACTTTACCCTCTCAGAAACAGCATGCAAATTTATGACCTGTTGCCATTACCGGTGAAAGTTTTCTTAGTCTTAAAGATGTTTGTGCATTGAAATTGTTGGGCTTGTGGGTTGGATTAACTTGTCTTGCTCATTCGTGTTATGTAAGCCTACTGACCTGAGTTGAATGCAGGGCTGTGGAGCAAAGAGGAGCAAGATAAAGATGTAGTCTGCCTTTCCTTCTTTTCTTTTTCAAATCCACAAATCTATCTGGATTAGTGGGTGAGATACACATTCATAAATAAAGAAAGAAAATGTTTTCCCCCTTGAACAGAGGCAAAATATCATTCTGGCTCACCTAGGCAGAAAAGTAGCAGGATACAGACTTGGCAGTGAATATCCTTCTGCTACAAGTTACTTTTGGTGGCTGCCATTCACTTGGCTTCGGGTACCATTTGGAGGGAAAGATGGCAGAGATGTGGGAGATCTCCCTCCACCCCACCTGCTGCCCAGCGTCAAAAAGCTTTGATGGCACCCGAAGAGTTGAGCACCAAAGTCACAGAGGAAGGAACTAAGCTTCTGTGAAGAAGTAACTGAATCTCAGAACAGCAGCAGTTGTAGCGACAGATTTAAATGCACAGCTTTGTTTTTGATATTTGTCAGTGTATTTTTCCTCTTCTATTGCTAAGGGAAGGGTGGGGCTTTCCTGTCACTTCTGCAAAATGCGCAGCAGCAAAGGAGAAGCAGGGCTGGGGCTGAAGCAGGTTGCTTCAGATCGCCCGGAAGGCGGAGCGGGGAGGGTTGGCCTGGACGTTGAGCAATCCCAGCCGTGTCCTAAATCTGTGGGAACCCAGGAAGAGCTGTGGAGGCTTCCTGGCATCCTAGAATTGTTTGATTTCCCAGAACTTCAAGCACTGAGAATTAAAGGCAGGAGGAAAGTTGGGAGTTTGGGCCAATCCCTGGGTGGTGCTTGGCAGGGTGGAGGAGATGTCTAGTCTTGGGTACAGGGGGTGGCAGCTGGTGGGGAGGTCTAATGGGTAGGCACAGTTGAGTGCCTGCCAAGGTCCCCCACTCTCACGGGGCTTTAGAAGAGGACAGGCAGGTGCCAGCAACCCGCTGGCTGACCCGCTGATGGCCCACTGTCAACCACGTGAGTGAAGAGGGTGAGGCGGAGGAGTGAGGGCAGCTGGTGACCATGGGGTGGGTGGTAGACCCACTGAGGGAGGGTCCCACGGGGCTCAGGAGCCTGGAGTCGGTCCAGGAGACTAATGGGCAAGGGAGCCATCCCATCAGGAAGTAGCTGCCCCTCAGCTTTTCCATCTCATCCGAGATGTTAGTCCTTCCTTCGGGAAGACTTGCCAAGGCAGCTAAGCCCAGAATTGCAGGTTCGACAGCCCCGCCTCAAGCCCGAGCATCACATGCTTTCTGATCACAGAGAGGCAGTGTGGGGTAGTGGCTAGAGTGTCAGACTGGGACTCAGGAGATCTGATTTCTAGTCCCCACTCAGCTACGAAGTTTGCTGGGTGCCTTTGGGCCAGCTGCTGACCCTCAGCCCAGCCTCCCTCACAGGACTGTTGTTGTGGGGATAAAGTGGAGAGGAAGGGAACCTTGTAAGCCACCCTGGTTTCCTTGCAAATGGAAGAAAGGCGTGGTATAAATGCAATGTAAACATAATTATTATTCTCATCATGATGAGAAGTAGTTCTGTCATGGCTTTTCAATCAACAACATACCGGAGTTGGTTACCACAACCAAAAAAATCAGAGCAAAACCCATCAAATACATCACACAGGTAGCAGCTCAACTTCTTCTCAGGCACAAAGAAAACAAGAGTAAAAGGAAATGCAGTTTTAACTCTCCAGCCTTGGTAATCTGCCCGCTCTTTGCAATATCTGTTTGAATTACTAATACTGCCCATTGCCATCCCCTTCAGAGGGGAAACAAGATCACTGAGTTTTACAGCCGGGGTTTAATTTGGTTTTAAAGGGAGAACGATCCCCAGTTTCTACAAAAGCCTCAATCTTCTCCCAGCCTCACATTTATCAAGACTGAAACCCATTCCTTTTGGAAGTTTGCTGAATAGATTCGTGCTCTGAAATAGATGGGAAATATGTGTTTCTTCCTCTTAGAATCAAAATATAAATGATCTAGTGCTTTGGGGTGGAGGTTTCACATGGCTGACTATAGGCAAAGAGTACACTTTTCTAACATGTTAGCATTCAGATGCATCATAGATCATTAATGGGAAGGAGGAAGATGCCTTGCTATGACAGGGTAATGGTGGTGAAAAGAACTTTAACATGTGGGATCCTCTGGAATTGCTCAGAGATACATTGCCTTATACCATGTAGAGTTATTGCAAGAGAAAAACCTTTGCATGTCAAAATGCTCCATAAATGTCATATTCTGCATAGCTCCTTCTGTGTGTAAGTGGAAGGGGTGAAGAAGCGATGTTGAAGAGTAGCATCCTAGACCTGTTTTCCAGAAGAAGTAATAATTTCCATCATTCTCCAGCCAAGATGTATAGGATCTTGTAATCTTATCCTATTTAATTTAATCATATTTT